AAGAGAATAGAGTAGGTTGTGCGATGGGGAACCCGTGAGTAATGGGTAGAGTATTCCCGCATGTACGCCGCATTGAGAGAGCGGCATGAGTATCAGATAGAGAAGTGGTGTAGCCCGTGAGAGTGCATGCGGATGAGGGCTATACCCGAGTACCCGAGAGAGAGATTATAGACTCACATGGCTAAGGGTTCCGAATCCATGCATAACCGAGTCTGATCGGCTAGAATGAGTAGAGGTCACGTAGAGTGGGAGCGAGTCCCGGCCGTGCCTCCGGTAAGATGGGGCCGTGACTTATGAGAGAGTTATTAGAAAAGAGTTCTAAGAGAAAGAGAAAGAGAAGTACTGAGAAGTACTAAAGAGAAATGGAATGAGAAGTTGTAAGGAAAGAATTATAGAGAGAGTTACGGGGATAGCATGAGTAGAGGATTTACTTACTGAGCATTATTTTAGTGCTCACCCCGTTGTTTTCCTATGTTTTGCAGGACCTAGGTGAGGACACTGTCGGATGGATGTCGGCGTTCGAGAAGGAGTGGTTACACTGTCCCTTAGGTTTTTGATGACTTTTGTATATGTTATACATTTTATGTAAAAAAAAAAAAAAAATGTATATGTTTGTAGAATATATAAATATATTTAATAAAAGAAAATTTTGGGCCCAATTTCTTTATGTTATTTTATATGTATTTCATTATAAGTTTTGAGTAGTAGTGGCTATTACAGTGTGATATTGTTGAAAATGAGATTTAGGTACTTGAATAATTGCCCAAATAGACTTTTAATGCATCTCTTAAGTGTGCTTGCAATAGTTTTTCATAATTGGAAGCATAATTGAATTTCTGATCTTATTTTTCCCAAAATTATTTAAGGTACTTCAGGAACGTTAGAACACTCTTTTACACTGTTTATCACTCTCATTCTCGTTGTGTGTGTACAAAAGACAAAAAAAATGAGAAATAAATGGTTACTTTCTTATTCATTGTATTTTTCTTTTTATACATATGTTAGAATAGAGAGTTAAAAGAGTGTTTTTAACATTTCTTAATATACTTTATCAATCAGCATTCGTTCTTGTTTCTCCAGGAAATCAATATATTTGATGTTTCTTGGAAGTTATGGATCAAGTGGTGAACATATGATGATTTCGCTTTCACCTTTTTATTTCAAACTTATATAATGTCTACTTATGATGATTTGGCTTTCATCTTTTTAGTGCAAACTTTCTATAATATCTGATTTTGGCATGGTTGTAGGCATTGGATACTTTCAACACAGCAGTTGTTTCTCCTAAATATTAGGCTATGTTCACATCTTTTACAATATTTGCTAGTGCAATAATGTTTAAGGTAAAGCTCGGTCATCGCATACACTGCCATAGATACGCATAGTCAGGCAAGTCTTATGTATCATAATGTCTCTAATTGTCTATCTGGTTACTCTAGGATTATTCTGGTCAAAGTGCAAGTAGCATAGCATCAGAGCTTTGTGGGTTTATCACTGTGTTATCGGGAACTACTGCATTGCATAGCACAAGAGAGCCAGATCCACATTTTGTTGTAGTTACATGTCTCCTGCATATCAGTGGGCAAAACTAAAACTATTGTAAAACTCTACAAAAAGTTATCCATTTTAGCTTTAATAGTTTAGTAGTATCAATGAAGGGAGTTGAAATGAAAATTGATAAGTAGTCTTTAATTTTCACATAGTAATACCAAAAATAAAAAATAAAAAAATTTGTATAGTCAAAAAAATAAACATGTATGGTGACAAAATACTTGATGGCAAGGTGTGTTAGTGGTGAGTACACAATTTGATTGTTGTTCTTTCTATTTTTCATCATCATTTTAGGTTTTTGTGACATTTTTTCTTTCGGGAGTAGAGCTTAGAGGGAGGATGACACCTAACAAATTGATTAGAAAGTAGATTATTCATGTAAGATAATGTATATTGACAAGTATAATCTTGGCCTTTATTCTAGCAAATCAATTCATCGATTCTATAATGTGATTTGAATCCTTAATGCCTTAATACTATTATCTATGCTTTTTTCCTTTTTTTTTCATTTAATATAGAAATATGTATTATAAAGAAGAAAGAAGATCAAAGGGGACCAGGTTCCACTGTTAAAGGGTTTATTCCTAGGAAGGGTTAAAAAACTTGCAAAAGGCTCAAAAGGTACTGAATATAATCTGTGCAATAAATAAAAAAAATGCACTATGTTACATTGTCCCATATATCTCTTTTCTGCTAGGGTGTAACTCACTAGTCATCTTTAACAGGTGTGTGTGTGTAATATCCCACTTGAGTACGTATTTAATGAATTCTGTATTAGTTAAAAGTTTAGTGTTTTCAACTTTAAGTTGAGTTTTGTGTAAACAATGTGTAAAACTAGTACACGGGGATCATAGCATAATAACCAATAGAAAATTGGTCCCAAAGTTTTCCTTTTCATTACAATTCATATTGTCTTTGTAGTAACACAAAGACGTATTGTTTTACACAAATCCTTTTAAAAGGACAAAACAGGGAAACATGTAGCTATTGCTCCTCGCTTGCCGAAGACGCTGTCTTTCCTGACTGCATCAACACCTAATCTGCATCCAAAGGAAAAATAAACCGGGGGAGCAAATAATATTGCTCAGTAAAGTACAAAATCCCTTATCTGTCTGTTTCCCGTTATTATCACTTTATCCTTCCTTATACTTTTCTGTTTCTATTTCTGTTTCTAGGCTAAACATGCATGGCCTCTCTTACCGAGGTACTGCCAGGATGGCACTTCACACCCCAGTCCATCTTTCCTTTCGTGGACTATCGGGTGGAAATCACAGTACCAACCCAGTTCTTATTGACTACGCGAGGTGGGGATTCACAAAGCACCTACTCGTTTTTCCTAACCGTCGGGTGGGACACCTTAGCACCTACCGTTTCTCATGACTTTTGGGCACGATCACCAAGCATTAAATCCCGTCTCTATCCTGTCGGGTGATGATCAAAAGTGTCCAACCCACCTCGTAATAATGTCGGATGATGATCACACAAGCTCACCCGTTTTCTAATGACTAACCGGAGTGGGATCACAAAGCATCCACCCGTTTCTACTACTTATCGGGTGATGACCACAAAGCCGACCCTCTTAAGGGCTATTCGGGTTGGTGATCACAAATCATCAACCCGATTCCATACCAATGGCTGGGTGATGATACACAAAGTCATCAAACCCATCTATACTACTGGCTTCTAATTCCTCTATGCTAGCATTTTTCATTCTTCTACCCTTAGAGTAGTTTTCATCCACCAAGCTCTCTACGCATAGGGTAATTGCATACACAAGTTCCTACACTTTCTTAGGTCATTTTTCAAATGCCACAATTAGTGCCTATGGATGGTTACTTCCACAATGCACTTATGAATGCCGAAATGCAATGTGCAAGAATTTAGGTTCTACTACTCATATCGGAAACCTCTATTAGGCATTCATCAAACAACTCAAGTGCACTTAAACCTAACTATAGCAATGATCAAAAACTATTTTCTAACCATCCAAATGGGGAGAAACCCCTCCATAACCACAAAACCTGCCCAAAAAAAAACACTTCCAAAAAGGATCCCCAAATACACCCTTGCAATTCATCTCAAACTACCTTCCAACCCACAACTCATTTCTTAATTTGCAACGTATAAAACAATCCACAAGGCATAGTAAATCTCTATTTAAGTCCAGTACATGCTTATCACATGTTTTATATCACACATACACTCATTTCTATCAAACCCTAATCAAGAAAGCATTCTTAAATCTCAACTTGGGTTGGGGTTACTTACCTTGTTAGAGAGACTTCACCAACTCTTCCTTTCCCAACTTGGTTTGCTGACTTTTTCTTCTACTCTTAACCAAAAGAACCAAAAACCTCGAACTCAAATATATACAAACTCACAAGATCCTCACAACCAAAAGCAAGGAAAATCCTACCTTAGGAAGCTCTTAGTTTGATTTTACCCCAAATCACTTCAAAAAGCCCACCCTTGAAACTCCTTGATCAAAAAGAAAGAGAAGTTGAGGAAGTCCAGATGGAGAGTTGCGTTTTTGAGACGAAGACAGTGAGGTTTTGCGAACTCTTATTCCTTTTAATGAAATGTTATACCAAGCCCTTCCCATTTTGCCTTACTTTCTTTGGGAATTCATCTAGATCCTGTTCATCATACAAAACCCCCATATCACATATTCTCCATGAAAAATCTTACCCATTAACTCCCCGCTTTCCTGCTACTTAGGGGTAGTAGATGGTCAAATATGCCTAGGGAAAAAAATACTAAAACTAAACCACCATTTTAATCGACCTGTCGCCGCGGCGAAGAAATTCTGTCGCCGCGATGTAAATTGTTCCAGATGTAGATTTCCCGTGTTTAAACATCCAATCTTCGCCGTTGGCGAAGATTCTTCTTCGCCCCGCGAGCTGGTGTTGGACACAGACACTTCTCGATTTTTGACCAATGTCAGGTGCAAGCCTTCAACACAACACTCGTCAAACTATATTACAAAAACAAAACCAAACTCAATAAGAGCGAAAGAAGAAAATCAATACATTACCTCAGGGTGGGGCATTACAGTTTGTATGTTGATTGGTTGAATTGTTGCCGTGAAATGGTTGAGTTTTGTGGTGAAGGTTGAAATCCATCTTCGCCGGGTCTTGAAGCAAGTTCGCCGCGGCGAGGGGGAGATTGCACCAGGGTAGGTTCTGCCCTGTTTCGCGCGGGCGCACCACAAATTCTTCGCCCGGGCGGCAGAGATCTAAGACAAAGTTTCTTGAGTTTCTACGATTGAATTTCTTCTTTTGGGGCACAATGACCATGTCGACCCCTAGATTCAGTAGAAAAGTGGGGCAGTAAAAGAAAAGGAAATTTAGTTAGAGTATTGTGTTTGATGGGGTGTATTGTAAAGAATCAACAGGATATAGAGATGGAATTTCCAGGAGGGCAAGGGAAAATGGGAATAATGTTGGCTATAATATGAACCAAAAGGGTTAAGTGAGAGAAAAAACCTCTTTTTCTTCATTTCCACCGCCTCTTCCCATTGCCCATTTTTCCTCAATTTTCTCCATACCAATCTTTCAAGATTTCTAAGGCGATTTAAGAGGGTTTTAAGTAGAAGATTTCATCTAAAGCATCCTAAGGTAGGATTCATGCTTTTAGATGTGAATTTCTTATAATTATAGTGAAGTCTTATTGGTGTGTTGCTGTCCTTGTGGGTTGTTGAGTTGTAGAGAAGAAAACAGACCACAAAGGGAAGGAAAGGTGCTAAAGGAAGTCACTTTGCACAAGGTAACGTAAATCCTACCAATTGAGTTTTTTATAAGTGTTTGAGTAAGATGTATGCATATCAGTATGTATATGATCAATGAGAAATGATTTGAGATGGTATCTTATTTTGTAGTTGTTGGATCATTCATGTATGAGAATTTTGTTGATGGTGTGATATATGGAAAGTTTATATGAGTTTGAGAGATGTTGTGGTAATCCTTTTTGGGGAAGTGCTTTCCTTGACATGGTTTATGAGTATTTGAGGGAGTTTTTCCCCATTTTGGATGGCTAAGATGAAATATAGTATAATTTTTAGTATAGTGTTCTATGCCCATAGATGCTTGAGGAAATGCCCTAGGAAATCTGCCCTGTCACACCGTCACTTTCTAAGTCATTTTTGGACATTTTAACGGTTTGGAAACTGCTGAGCCAAACATCAAAGATGTAGCCCTGTTCTAAGCTTAAAACGAACCAAAGCCGTAGCATCGAGGTGTATGCACAAGTTGATGCCGTTTTAGGTGACCTGTCGAATGACGTTTTGAGGAAATCTTGTAGTTGGCATTTCTTAGTGCATTAGGAGCAATTAGCTAGCTCTACCCTTTGTTTATACCCTTGAGAAGTCTCTTTAGATTAGTAGAGATTTGAGTAAAGCTACTTTAAGATTTGAAATATTCTCTGTTTAAAATGTCAATTAATTAGAGAGAGCAACTAGAAAAATGTTGAATCGTAAAAGTGGAGTGGGCTAAAAGACATGTTCTAACATGTCTCAACTTTTAGCTCTTTCATTTTGTTATCTTATATTGTCATAAGTCCTCCTTATGGTATGTGGTTATCAAGAGTAAATATGGCCTTCATGTAAATGGTTAGGATTCTAAGATGGTGGCTAATGGGTTCCCTTGAAGCCCTTGGAATCTATATCGAAATACTATTCCGTATTTCTTTCTCATTTTATGCTAAACGTAGGGAATTGGGATATAATTTGCCTTTTGGAATATGCTTGGCGGTAGGATAATCCTTTGTGTTGCATGTACTATTATCTTTATGGATGTTCGAGATCTTATAATGTCTCTATCAAATCCAGAGTGGTTTACTTGGTTGCCCTCTCCACAGTCGAAGTTTAATTTTGACCTTTTTTAGAATTTGAATGAGATAGATATCTAGGATCTTTATGTTCTATTGGTTTCAGTGGATAATGTATCTATTAATGAGCTTAAAGAGGATCGGAGAGATTTGAAGTTGGATTGACCTTTTTTTTTTTTATGTAAATCTTATTTCTCTTGGTTGATTAATGATCCCTCCTACTCTTCTGCTTTGTTGGATAGAAATATTTGAAAGGCCAAAGTCCCTTGCAAGGCTCAAATTTTTGCTTGGGCTTTAGCTCACAATAGAATCAATACAGGTGAAGTTTTTAACTGAAGATTCCTTAATATGTTCTTGACTCCCTCTTGGTGTGTTATTTAAAAGAAGCTAAACAAAGACAGTTTAGTCCATCATTGTCCCTTTCTGTTGGTTTTTGGTTTAAACTGATTCAAATAGCTAAAATTCTTGGGTCATTTCAGCCTCTGATAAATTCTTTTTCTCAAGTTCTTGGACTCTTTAGGTAGGATTAATAAAGCTAAGGTTGTGGAAATGTGTTATTTTGTCATTGTTTTGGGTAATTTGGATTGAGGAATTGAAGGTTTTCTTTATATTAACAGAGAGGAAGACGTCCCTTCTTTGTGGGATAGAGTTTGAAATTTAGCTTCCCTTTGAGTGTCATTGACAATAATTTAGAGATTCTTCTTTCATTTGTAATTCATTTAAATTGGGAGAGAGTTTTGGCACATGATTACTTTTTTCATTGTGCGAGCATTTGGTTTATTTTTTGGTCATCTTTTTATGATTGTCATCCTTGGGTTGTCTGGTATACGTTGTGTATACCTTTTTTCCTATTTTCTCAAGCTTGTCTTTCTTTAGAGGATTGCTTATTCACTTTTGTTAGATCTTTTCTATAATACATATTTCATAGTTTCTTATCCAATTAAAAAAAAAAAAAAAAAGATAAAAAAAACACGTCAGGATGTTCTTCCCTCAAATTAATAGTTATGTTCACTTAAGCCGTTATGATGTGCAAAAGCTATTTTGCCCTTGGACATCTTATTTTTCATTTCTTTGATGTACTAATCAAAGTCACATGGTTATTTTGGTATAGAGTTTTGAATGTATTCTTAGGGATATGTGTCATTGTTTTGGATAATAATAATGGAGAGAAAACAAAGGAATTAGAGGAAGAAACAGATTATAGGGGGAGAGATCAAATATTTGTATTCAACAATCCATCAAAGTTTTACATACGACTATAATATACTTGCAATAGCTCATTCAGTCTAACCTAAATAATACATTCAACTGTAGGGAATCAAATCTGAATATAACAAGTTGTAAATATCTTATTTCCCTAAATTACTAGATCACAAGTTCTCCATGATTCTCTCCTGTTAAGTGAAACTTGACTGCTGAAGCGTTGATTGGTAGAGAGACACAATGTATAAATTGAATGTTATCAATAGACTTGAAAACGCCAAATTTGATCCTACACTAGACATATGAAAGAGATAAACCAAAATATAAGCATAATAATCCAATCGCTTAGGTAGAAGGGATTAGATCTTAGTGTGGCATCAACTTGATCGAGCTATGGTAAAGAATCCAAAAAATTCCATAAATGAAACTTTTAGAGGCTCAAACATGCCTTGGTAAGTGTACATTGTTTGACAATTAATTACTAGATCGTAAGTTAATCTTGAAGACAAATTAGTGAACATCCAATTAATAAGAGGCTCAACCAATGAAATCAATATTAATTTCTAGTTTAGGATCAATTTTAGCATAAGATGATTTACTAATTTTAGTACGGTCTTCAGTTTTAGCATCATATTCACCATCATGTTAACCTTGCTTCAAGCATCATTCTCACTCATAGGACCAGTTTGACTCTTAGGATTCATTTTACAAGTAATTGGTAGACAAGATGGGTAAACTTTTGGAAAGGTGTCTGGGGAAAGAAGAAATCAAGCCATTCTTGGATTAGGCTAAGTGGGGTGATCAATTGGCTAAAGATGTTTGAATAACTGGGAAAACCTATTGTAAAAGCTCTAAAAAATTATCCATTTTAGTTTATAGTTTAGTTAAGCTATCAATGAGGGAGTTGAAATGGAAAATTGATATAGTATGCTTTAATTTCATCCATAGTAATACCAAAAATAAAAAATAAAAAAAAGTTGGTATAGATCAAAAAAAATAAAACATGTATGGTGACAAAATGTGACTTGGATTGGCAAGGTGTGGTTAGTGGTGAGGTACAACATATTGGATTGTTGCTTGTCTCTATGTTTTCATCATCATTTTTAGGTTTTTGTGACATTTTTTTCTTTCGGGTAGTAAGAGCTTATGAGGGAGGATGACACCTAAACAAATTGATTAGAAAGTAGATTTATTCATTGTAAGATAGATGTATATTGACAAGGATATAATCTTGGACCATTTATTCTAGCAAATCAAATTCATCGGATTCTATAATGTGATTTGAATCCTTAATGCCTTTAATCTATGCTTATTTTTCCTTTTTTTTTTCATTTAATATAGAAATATTGTATTATAAAGAAGAAAGAAAGATCAAAGGTGGACCAGGTGTCCACTGTAAAGGGTTTATTTCCTAGGAAGGGTTAAAAAACTATGCAAAAGGCTCAAAAAGGTATGAATATAATCTGTGCAATAAATAAAAAAAAATGCACTATGTTACTATTGTCCAGCATATATCTCTTTTCTGCTAGGGTGTAACTCACTAGTCATCTTTTAACAAGGGGTGTGTGTGTAATATCCCACTTGAGGTACGTATTTAAGATTTGCTGTATTAGTTAAAAGTTTATTGTTTCAACTTTAATTGAGTTTGTGTAACAACTGTTGAAAACTAGTACAATGCATGCATAATAACAATAGAAAATTGGGCCCAAAGTTTTCCTTTTCATTACAAGTCATATGTCTTTTATACACAAAGAGTATTGTTTACAAAAATTCCTTTTAAAAGACAAAACAGGGGAAACAGTGTAGCTATTGCTCCTCGCTTGCCGNTTTCTGGTAGTAAGTGCTTATGAGGGAGGATGACACCAAAACAAATTGACTAGAAAGTAGATTTATTCATTGTAAGTAGATGTATATTGACAAGGATATAATCTTGGACCATTTATTCTAGCAAATCAAATTCATCGGATTCTATAATGTGATTTGAATCCTTAATGCCTTTAATCTATGCTTTTTTTTCATTTAATATAGAAATATTATATTATAAAGAAGAAAGAAAGATCAAAGTGGACCAAGTGTCTGCTGTAAAGGGTCTATTTCCTAGGAAGGGTTAAAAAACTATACAAAAGGCTCAAAAAGGTGTGAATATAATCTGTGCAATAAAAAGAAAAAGTGCACTATGTTACTACTGTCCAGCATATATCTCTTTTCTGCTAGGGTGTAACTCACTAGTCATCTTTTAACAAGGTGTGTGTGATATTGTTGAAAATGAGATTTAGATACTTTAATAATTGCCCAAATAGACTTGTAATGCATCTCTTAAGTGTGCTTGCAATAGTATTTCAGAATTGGAAGCATAATTGAATTTCTGATTTTATTTTTCCGAGAATTATTTAAGGTACTTCAGGAACGCCAGAACACTCTTTTACACTGTTTATCATTCTCATTCTCATTCTCGTTGTGTGTGTACAAAAGACAAAAAAAATGAGAAATAAATGGTAAGTTTCTTATTCATTGTATTTTACTTTTTATACGTATGTCAGAATAGAGAGTTAAAAAAGTGTTTTTAGCATTTCTTAAGATACTTTATCAATCAGCATTTGTTCTTGTTTCTCCAGGAAATCAATATATCTGATGTTTCTTGGAAGTTATGGATCAAGTGGTGAACATATGATGATTTCGCTTTCACCTTTTTATTTCAAACTTATATAATGTCTACATATGATGATATGGCTTTAATCTTTTAAGTGCAAACTTTATATAATATATGATTTTGGCATGGTTGCAGGCATTGGATACTTTCAACAAAGCAAATGTTTCTCCTAAAAATTACGCTATGTTCACATCTTTTACAATATTTGCTAGTGCAATAATGTTTAAGGTAAAGCTCGGTCATCGCATACACTGCCATAGATACACATAGTCAGGCAAGTCTTATGTATCATAATGCCTCTAATTGTCTGTCTGGCTGCTCTAGGATTATTCTGGTCAAAGTGCAAGTAGCATAGCATCAGAGCTTTGTGGGTTTATCATTGTGTTATCGGGAACTACTGCATTGCATAACACAAGAGAGCCAGATCCACATTTTGTTGTAGTTACATGTCTCCTGCATATCAGTGGGCAAAACTTTGATGTCTGTTGTAAATATATAATTTAGCAAACTAAGCACATTATATTTAAGTAATGCTCGATACATATGCCATCTATATATGTTGTTTCTATAAGCTTAAATATAAATGTAATGAAATTCTGGATGTAGTAGTGGAAATATAATTGAACTACATGGAAGAAGAAATTGTAGTACGTAAACGATGAATGTTTCTATAGGTAAAATTAGCATATAAAAGAAGAGTAATGGAAAAAAGAGAAGATGAAAATATGAAATTTTAAGAAAATGAAAAGTCGATCTTTCATGACCCACTACTGTTTATATATATGTACGTATTTATAAACTTCGATGGACAGTAAAAATAATAAAATATAGCATGTTAATTTAACCCAATAAACCCAAACGCATAAACTATAGAAGTCATTGATAATAAATAAGAATTTGAAAAAAGTTAACTAGTAGTCCATTAATTAGAAAAAAAAAAAAAAAAAAAGGATTTTATGGGAGCAAGGGTGGGAGGTATTCAATCTGTGTTAGAAAAATCAAGTTGGGAGGAGGAATTCATAGTATAGGAGATTTCAATTTTTCTTTTTCTCGTCAGAAAAAAAAATTAATAGATCTGGTTCTACATGAAGCTTATTTTATGTGGAACTTAGGATATAATGTGAAACATAGACTGGATAGATATTCAAATTGAAGCTAATTTGCCTTGTTTTAGCAGGAAATGTTGGAATAGTTGTTTCTGATCATTGCCCAATAAGATTAGATTTCAACTTTGAGATGGTGTCCTTTTCCTTTCAAATTAGAAGCTTTATTCTATAAAATTGAACCTGTAGAAGCCTATGACCATGTTTATTGGAATTACTTGGGACTTTGTCTTGGAAGTTGAAGGTTTTTTTGTAGTAAATGGAGAAGGTGTATTAGAAAATACTTGTATCTATGAATTTTTCTGTCTTTTATAATGGCTTTCGTAATATAATTTGGGGCTTCAAGGTTATTCAAAAGACTTGACACGTTATCTTGGTCAACACTAGATTATAAAAATAAAATAGGTAAGGATCAAATTATGGTGCCTCATTTCAATGTTTTGATGATACTATTCTTTTCTTTTGGGAAGGACTTTACTGTGTCTAGTTTCTTTGATTGTTGGAGTAGCTAGATTGGTTTTGGGCCTAAAGTTTTTAAGCTGTCCAAGAGTGTTATTACTGGTGTTAATTTGCAAGATCAGGAAGCCGTTTCTTTGGCAAAAAGATTGGGTTGTAGTGTTGGTGAGAGGCTATTGCACAAAGAGGTTCATCTGGAAAATAGATTAGGATGTAGTGTTGGTGAGTGCATATAAACTATTGGAGTCTTCTTTTCATAGATAGCCCTAGAAGGGTAAGCTATAAAACCCCAATCTAAAAAAATTGCAGAAAAAATTGCTTGGGTGGAGCGTGGAGCAGTTTTATATAAAATGGGCTTTCAGTTAATTCGGTGTTTTTAGTCTTATTTATACCTTTTTTTTTTTTAAAAAAAAGACAATTTATTATTTAATATTATCGTTATCATTATAATACAGCTTATAGAATTAAACAGTTTTCTAAGTGATTTCTTGTGGGATAGGACTATGGAGTTGAGGGAAAATAACTATAGTTGGAAATATGTTTTTGCGTCTTGGGGAGTAGGAATGGCAAAAAAAATCCACTAGGTTGTTTCAGCTTAGTTTGGGTGGGTATTTATGACCACATTTTATTTTCTATAACATTTTTTTAATAAATCATAATTTTGATATATAATTTACGTGCATTTATTGAATATTATTAAAAACCTTCTATTATTATAGATTAGAATAAATGATTTTTCATTTATGCTAAAAATCTTCAAAAACTTTTATTAAAACAATGTAATGAGTTACTCCTCACCGGACAAACACACCAACCTAACCCACCTCTGAAATTTCAAGTGATGGTTTGTGCATTCAAATCAAACACTTTGCTATCCCTCCTTAGTGAAGAGAAGTACCATGGCTTTGTTGGGTAATGCCATTGGAGATTTTTGTTGGAATACAATTCTCTTTGGTATGGGTTTATTAAAAGTACAATGTCTTCTTGGTAATGGGTCTGATTGTAGGGACAACTAATACATGTCGAGGTCCTAAGAAAGCTGTAGTTCTTTGTTTTTCTCCTATTTGAGTTATGCTGTTGGGAATGACTAGAAAATCTTTTTTGGGAGGATATTTTTGTTACTTAATTCTCTGCTTTGTAAACCCTAAACCTTGAACCCTGAACCATAAATCCCAAACCCCAAAACCCGAAACCCTAAACCTTGAACCCGAAACTCTCAACCCTAAACCCTAAACCCTAAACTCTAAACCCATAACCCCAAACCCTAAACCCCTAAACCTTGAACCCTGAACCCTAAACCCCAAACTCCAAACCCTAAACCATGAACCCTAAAACCCTAAACCCTAAACCCTAAATCATAAACTCGAAACCTGAAACCCTAAACCCTGAACCCTAAATCCTGAACTCGAAACCTTGAACCTTGAACTCTGAATCCTGAACCTTAAACCCTGAACCCTGAACCTAAATCCTAAACCTTAAAATCTGAACCCTGAACCCTGACCTGAACCCTGAACCTTGAACCAAAAACCCAAAACCCAAAACCCTAAAACCGTTTTAGGGTTTAAGGTTTTGGTTTAAGGTTTTGGGTTTTGGGTTTAGGGTTTTGGGTTTTTAGGGTTTAGGGTTTTAAGAGTTTTTTTAGGGTTTAGAGTTTAGGCCGAGTGTATCTCTACGGAGAGGAACCTTGCCAACTAGTATTTCAATCTTTGTCGAGATCAGAAGGCTTTTTTTAAGCAGCGGTCTCGTGTTTAGTGGCTGAACTGAGGGGATCAGAATACTAAGTTCTTTCATAAGTCGTTGATCCATAGGCAGGTTCGGAATCGTATCCACGGGTTGACTGATGGAAATGGTACCCATATTACTGATAGTCAGGGTTTAGGGCGTTTGGCGGTGGATTTTTTTCAGGATCTTCTTGCTGCCCCTACTCAACCTTAGATCGCAGAGGCTTCTAGGTATTTTTCTAGGCGCATTTCTCCTGATATGATTTCTCCCTTGATTGCTCCTATCACTGATGATGAGATTAGGATTGCTTTATTCTCTATCCTGGATCATAAAGCCTCGGGTCCGGATGGATACACTTCTTTGTTTTATAAGTGAGCATGGGATATTATTAGTACAGATTTTAGAGATGTAGTGAGACATTTTTTTGCTACTAATGAAATGCCAAGATGTGTTAATGCCACTAGGATTGCTTTGGTTCTTAAGGTGGAGAGCTTGAGTCATATGACGGGCTTTAGATCGATATCTTGTTGTAATGTACTTTATAAGTGCATTTATAAGGTGATAGTGAATCGGTTTAAAGTAGTGCTTCCGGATGTTATTGGGAGTTCCCAATCGGCTTTTGTCCCGGGTCGAAGGATTTCTGATAATATTCTACTGATTCAGGAGCTTTTGCGGAATTATCATCTTGGGGGTACTTCACCTCGATGTGCCCTTAAAGTTGATATTCGGAAAGCATTTGATACTGTGAGTTGGGATTTCATCCTTTTGGGACTGCGTACTATGGGTTTTCCTGAGCATTTGATGAGGTGGATCATGACATGTATCTCTACACCGTATTTCTTTGTTGACCAGAACGGAGAGCTTCACGGTTTTTTTAGGTCTTCCCAGGGTATTCGACAGGGGAACCCTTTTTCTCCTTACCTATTTGTGTTGGCTATAGAGGGGTCAGTTGGTATCTTTCGGGAAACCTCTCACAGCCCTGGTTTTCATTATCATTGGAGATGTAGGCAGATAGGTATTACTCATTTGTGCTTTGCGGATGATTTAATTGTGTTTTGTCGAGCAGATGCTTCCTCTGTTAGCTTGATCAAATCGGCCTTGGATTATTTTGCCAAGGTTTCTGGGTTGGTGACTAATGCAGAGAAGAGCCAGTTGTTTCTTTCTGGAGTTACAGATGAGGAGCAGATTGGATTACAGTCTATCATGGGTTTCCAGTTGGGCCAGTTACCGGTCAGATATCTAGGGGTTCCTTTGATCTCTACCCGTCTTCTATATTTTGATTGTAGGCCTCTGTTAGAGCAAATTCTGTCTCGGATTAGGCTATGGACGTCGACATCTTTGACCTATGCAGGCAAGTCAATGCTTTTCTCCATACAGGTATATTGGTCATCCATGTTTCTTTTACCGGCAGCTATAGTTAGACGGATTGAGAGTATTTTGGCCTCAGTTTCTTTGGAAGGGTACTTCTTTGTCCCTTTTTGGTGTCAAGGTTACATGGCCTTCTGTTTGCTATCCATTGAAAGAGGGTGGTCTGGGGATTAAGAGCATCCAAGATTGGAATAGAGCAGCTATTCTTAAACACGTTTGGAGACTACTTAATGATAGATCTTCTATATGGTCTTCTTGGGCCCATTTGGTTCTCCTCCGTGGTCAGTCCTTTTGGTATATTCGAGTTACTTCTGGGGCTTTATGGGCTTGGAGGAAGATTTTACTTAGCAAGTTTTGGTGTCAGGGTCTTATTGTGACTTGTATTGGTGATGGTAAGGACACCATGTTATGGCGAGATCACTGGCTACTGCAAGGACCTCTGTGTGACTTGCTCCCTTTTAGAACTTTGACTTCCACTGGTTTGCCGTGGGATGCTCGATTTTCAGACATTATTCGGGATGGTTTGTGGAATTTTCCTTTGGGCAGTGCAGACCTTCAGCATATTTAGGACTCCATTACAGTGCAGCCTTCAGCGAGTCATCCTGACCATCTTGTGTGGAAGGGCCACCCGTTTGGACGTTTCTTTATTGATTGAGCCTGGAATGTGTTGCGAGACAAACAAACGGGATGTGAACTCGATTCATCATCTGTTATGGTTTCCAGGGCATATTCCACGCAACTCTTTCATTCTCTGGCTTGCATCTCTTGGTTGGCTTCACACCATGGATCGACTCAACTCTCATGGTGTCATTACGTCATCCCTGTGTGTTTTGTGCAGTTCAGCTACAGAGACTCATAACCATTTGTTTTTCAACTGTGACT